TATCAGATGTTGTGGTATGATGGTGTTGAAAGACCTGTCGGCCCAGTACGCAACCATGTGGGACTCCACATTAAAGCTTTCATAACCAGCACAATAAAAATGTTTGTATATATTAGATATGGATTTATTTATTAAATTATATAATATTGATTACTTCATTAATTAGTTATATTTAAACTTTTGTCACATGTGACGATTATTGTCTATTACTGCCTTTTTAAATAGGTTTCATATATTATTGTTCATTTTCTATTTATGTTTTTCTTGACTTGCAGTCCTTGTGTTGTCTCATATTGTGGATCAAATATATTCTTTTCTCAGTTTGGTCAATGCAGTCGGCCTTTATTTTGAAAGTCCCTGCCGGGGTCACGTGGTGGTCGGTGTGTGACTTGACTCCAGGTCGAAGGAGGAGGAGAGGGAGAGAGAGGAGGAGAGAGAGGAGGAGAGAGAGGAGAGGCATGAATCATCAGGAGGAGACGGACTGATGAGAGACAGTCAGAGGACATCTGATCTGCAGGTCCTTGAACGCACCGCGGCGTCTCCTCCGCGTCTTTCTTGGTTTTTGTCTGGACCCGGTCTCTGGTCTTTGGTCTCAGGATGCCGGACCAGATCTCAGTGTGTGAGTTCCTCTCCGAGACCACCGAGGACTACAACTCCCCCACCACGTCCAGCTTCACCACCCGGCTGCAGAGCTGCAGGAACACCGTCAGCATCCTGGAGGAGGTAGGTTGTCTGCCTGTCTGCCGGTCTGTCTGTCTGTCTGTCTGTCTGCCAGCCCTCCATCCTGACCCCCCATCCTTGCCTCTCGGCCTGTGAAGATCCGTTCTCCCCGGTGACCAGAACGACGGAGAAAACAATTTGGCGAACTCGGTTCACATTTCTGCAGATTTTATGTTTCAGGATTTAATGACAAAAACAATCAGTCCGAGAAATTTCAGCGTCAGATATGAATCAAATCCTCTCCTCTGAAGTTCGGCACTCATATAAAAGGATTTCCCCTCAATGAGATCCTGGATGTGATGGTTGGTTGTCGCTGCTCTCTGCCGCCCTCCGCAGTGCTCTGGCGGTGGAAAACAAGCGAGCTGATGTTCACAGTTGACATGACCCTGAAGCGCGCGCTGCCCGGTGGATGACATGAGCCCCGATTGGAAGATCGATCACAGAGATAACAGAAATATTTGAGCAATGGCTCCGTGTTTGTCTTTTATTTCGCTAAATGTCAATGAAACATAGAAGTGGCAGATTTCTGAATGGAGTTTGGCTGAAGGGCGACTGAGAGAACGTCACCTTGAAGGGGCTGCAGTGTGTTTATATATTTATATATGTGACTGCATCTGCACTAATGTCATGTCAATGTAAAGTCATTTATATGAAATATGATACAATTTATCACATTATTATCAATGAATATCAGATTCTTCTGCAACAGGAAGAGAAAATCAATGTTTGTGATCAGAGGTCAGAGGTCAAACATCAGGACTCTTCATGTTTCCGTTATAATTCCATGAATTTGTCCTTTAATAATCAAAGGTTTATTTATGGCCGATTGGATTATATTGATATATGTTTAATATTTTTAATAGATTATATTCTCAGTTGAACTGATTTAATATATTTCATCAGTTCATCCATTAATTAATCATAAATCTGTGGTGGAGTTATTAATACATTAATTAATATGTGAATAAGAATAATACCTTAATACCATCTTAAACATCATGTTTCACATTCATGTGGGGACACTAAACTCTACTTCCTTTCTTCATTAAAGGCTTTTCAAAGTAAGGTGTTTTTAAGAGGACAAATAAAAAAACACTGACATTATATTATATTAATTAATTACAATGTTTATTAAGTGAATTAAAGTCCTCACGTGACCTGAATGCACCATGTGGACTCAGCTGTGCTGCGTTCACTGACAGACTGACTGACTGCACATATATGATGATGATGATGAAGATGATGATGATGGTTGGAGTCACACCACATGGTCACCTTGACGACCCACATCCTCCGGCCAGGTTTCCATAGCAACAGAGGAAACTGTTGGCCTGAGAAGAGTGTCGCATCTGGTCAAACACACACACAGAGAGCTTTTATTTTGAAGGAATGGATGGAAGAAGTATAATAATAATATATAATAATTATAATGATATATTTATTATTGATTCATATTCATTTCATTCATTTGTATTCAGCTCTTTTCTCTTCCAGCAATCGACCGATATTGATTAATCAGGGCCAATACAGATATTGATTATTAGTAATCAAGGAAATCGATATTGGAACTGATGAACATTTGGAGTAAAAATGAAAACGTGAATTTGTACAATAAGCAGTAGTGAAATTTACTCAAGTACTGTATGTGAGTACAATTTGAATGTCCTGAACTACAGAAGCCCTAAAGGGCCATGCATTCATACGTTTTATTTCCTCCGTTTTCCCGTG